TAGTGACAACAAAACAACAAGACATATTAATGAGCATAATAAAAAACGTACTTTACATCACACAAATTAATAGCATATTTCCTTATGAGATGCCGGATGTCGAGCCTTCATCTACCTGCATCTCCGAATACACGGTATTGAGTTTTATCCGTCAGCAGTCGACATCTATCTTCAGTATGGTATGAGCTATTTATGGTAGTGTAAACGGTCGTAAAGTTTTGATAGAAGAAACATTTTTGAGAAAAGGATGTTCAATATTGGTCAAACGACCCTTTGAATTCTTTAAAATCCACACTCCATTTCTAGAATATAGTGTCACAAAACTGATGTTACCCTGATTGAATGATGCTGAGATTGGCAGTGACAAGTACGGTTAATGGTTTCGTTAAGCAACTAGAAGAGCCAGCGATCAAACATTGTTGAAAGGATTCTTGTGAAGTTTAAGAATCCAATACAAACGAGGCAGGTCCGTATCCTTATCATTACTGAGTATTTAGAAAGATTAGCTGATATTTCGTCTTTCAAAAGATTGGAAAATGTATATAATGGGTTTCCTTGTTATTTCTGCTAACAGCTAAAGTATTAGTGGTGTAAGCGAAACCAGTGGCATGAAAGTGTTTACATATTACATCATTCTAGCAACTTTCATTCAAGATTTTATTCATCAACATACAATTGACACACAGTTATATTATTGCTCAATGAAGTCGAAATCCCGAAAACGTTGTGTATATATCATAAAGAATTGACCCCGGGGTAAATAACCCGACCTTGACCTGCACGTTATCACCTTGGTGAAGGTTAACGGCTCATTCCCCGAACACCAACTCTGGAGAATTGAAAGGAATGTGTTTATATAGGAAATCCTTTGAAGTTTAGTTATAGCCTGTTTCAACTACGAATGTCAACTCATTTTGTAGATATGATACTAAAGTCAATAATAAAATGGATAGAAAGTTAGTATTTCCTACATATAACTGTAAATATTTCCTACATATAACTGTAATACACGTTTAATACAGCACTAAGTAATAGAAAATAATCATTAAATATTAATTTTTACATTATATGAAAAAGAAAAATAACATTACATTATATGAAAAACAAAATTCCTTAATTTAAGCCACATTTATACTAATGTCAGCAATAAAATACAGTTTACATTTAATACAGCACTAAAAGATAATTATTGAACATAAATATAAACGGTAAACCTTTCTGGAGCTAAAGTAGATGAAGAATTTAGCCTGAATCATGATGATTTTAGTTGGAATGGGTTTTTGGAACTCAGAAAATTTGCCAAAAAGTATAATATCTTCCTTTATTTTGAATGTTTGACCAGTTTTTAAGTATATTCATCTACGTATGTCTTGCCATAAGTTATTTGTTATTTGACACTGTAAATAAAGATGTTCTATAGTTTCTTTGCTTTGTTGGCATAAATTACATAAATCACATTGTTTGATTCCAATTATTTTCAAATAATGATTAAGCGGAAGTATTCTTGAGAGAAGCCTGAAAGTGAACCATTGAATGCTAGTTTTAAGTCCATGTATATAGTTTTCTAAAACAATCATTTTGAGTCCACCCTCACTATACTTACTTTACTTACTGCCCTGTACGCCCAGTGGCATGTAGGGCAGCAACGAAGCTCTTCCACATCTGTCTGTCATTTGCCATTCTCTGCAGAGTTCCCCAGGTCTGTTGGTGTTGACTTGCCTCTGCCTCTATGGTTCTCCTCCAGGTCATTTTAGGTCTTCCCCTCTTTCTCTTGCCTTCCGGTGTCCAGTGAAGTGCAGTTTTTGTTACTTCTTGTCTATCCTTTCGGAGAACATGGCCAAGCCACCTCCATCTTCTTCTCATGACAATTGTGGCCATATCTTCTCATGAGAAGATCTTGGTTTGTTACTTTTTCAGGCCAAAAGATACGTAATATCCTTCTCAAGCTTTTGGTGTGGAAGGTTGAAAGTTTGGTTTGATCTTGCTCCGTCATCCTCCAACACTCTGATCCACACAAAAGAACTGGTAGGACACAACTATTGTATAACTTGAGTTTGGTGCGGATGGTATACTGACCAGATCTCCAAACGTCCTGCAGATAATTTAGCGATCTTCTTGCCTTTGACAGTCTGTTCTTGATATCAAGATCTGCTCCACCATCTGTATTTACTATACTGCCAAGGTATGTGAAAGTGTTGACACTTGGTAGAGTATTCCCGTCAATTAATACTGGCAAGGCGTTGTTAACATTTAGGGTCATGATTTCGGTCTTTTTTGTTGTTGAGCTTGAGCCCAATTTGCCCTGCATATCTTTGTATCTCAGTTGTTTTGTCTTGGATATGCTGGTGTGTATGTGACAAAAGGGCTAAGTCATCTGCGAAGTCAAGATCTTCTAATACAGAGAACATGTCCCATCTGATGCCTCTTGGGGTTTCAGCCGTTGTTTGCCTCATTACCCAGTCTACGACAATGATAAAAAGTGTCGATGACATGGCACATTCTTGTCGAACTCCTGTTTTAACTGGGAAGTATTGATCACCATAACCAACCTTGCATCTAAAGTTGTTATAGAATGCCTTTATAAGATTGATAAGATGTTCCGGAATGCCGTATGATTTTAGAATCTTCCAAAGACTGTCCCTGTGGATGCTGTCGAAAGCTTTCTCGAAATCAACAAAGTTTATATATAATTGTCTTTGCCATTCTGTGCATTGTTCTATTATGTTACTTAGCGTGAAAATTTGGTCTATGCAACCTCTTCTAGGGCGAAAACCTGCTTGTTCTTTACGCAATAAATCGTCAATAGTGTCTGCAATTCTTCTAATAATTATTTTTGCCATATTTTTACTTGGAATAGATAGCAATGTTATACCACGCCAGTTGTTACAGTTATTTAAGGCTCCCTTTTTTGGTATTTTAATGATAGTTACATTGTTCCATTGGTCGGGAATCTGGGCTTCTTTCCAAATATGTTTAAAGATGTTGTAGAGTATGCATGCAGATAAGTTTGGATCTAATTTGAATAGTTCTGCGTTTAGGTTGTCACTTCCAGGTGATTTTCGATTTTTCAGACCTTTGATGGTAGAAATTATCTCTGGTTTTTCAGGTGGATCTGTACTGACTTCTAATTCATTGAATGTTTCTGTTATATCAGGTAGTTGTGTTCCACATTATTTCGAATGTTTGACCAGTTTTTAAGTATATTCATCTACGTATGTCTTGACAGAAGTTATTTGTTATTTGACACTGTTAAAAAAGATGTTCTATAGTTTCTTTGCTTTGTTGGCATAAATTACATAAATCACATTGTTTGATTCCAATTATTTTCAAATAATGATTAAGCGGAAGTATTCTTGAGAGAAGCCTGAAAGTGAACCATTGAATGCTAGTTTTAAGTCCATGTATAAAGTTTTCTAAAACAATCATTTTGAGTCCACCCTCACTATAGTCTTGAACAATTGTTGAGCGTTTTATTCTATCAATTGGTGATTGCCAGACAAAATCGTATTTTTTTTGTTCAATTATTGAATTATGTCTTTACTTGGAGTAGGGAGAGATATAAACAGGTGATTCATTTTTGCAATGATAAGAGATTTAAGAACAGTTATTCTCCTTATAGGTATTAAAATTCTTCGTGACCATTGATGTAACTTGCCATCTATAATACTAATAATTTTGTTGAAATTTACAGTAACCATGTCTTCTAAATTGACAGAGAAATCAATCCCAAGTAAGGTAAATTTGGTTGTTCCCCATTTTAGGTTCCACCTTCGATGGTTTACATCCAAATAACATTGTTTTTTTCAGTATTTACTTTTAACCCTGATATTTTAGCACATTTATCATATAAAGATTTTGTGCCATTTAAAATAAAGGATGTGTCATCAGCGAACTGTGAGAGCCTGTGTTCTTTGTTATTTATGTTTATGCCCTTAAAGTTTTTATCATTTTTTACCATGATAGCTAATATTTCAGCTACCAAAAGAAAGAAATAAGATGATACCGGATCCGCTTGTCTACAGCCCTTTTTTATGTCTATAAAGTTGGATAAAAAACCATTCTGTATGATAGCCGAGGAAGTATTTGTATTAAAACATAACAGATAATAATATCAAATTGAAGTCACACAAGTTAAACACAATTCATAGAAATCTGAAAATAAGAACAAGTTTAACTAACATATGACAATAATTATAAGAGAAATCACACATATCTGAAAATACAAGTTTACAAGTTATATCATAATAAATATATGACTGATTCTGAAAACTGTTCTAAATGTTAATTATTATTTTGCAATTATTAGCAGTTATTGATTATCTGGTTACTTATCAGAATTTGATTTACCTGTGAAATTTACCTGTACACCATTTCTGCAATAGACTATAACTCACTATCATCACAACTTGCCACCTATGTAAACATGTGATTTTAAACCCAGATGGTGACAGACACTCAAGCAAGTAATGGAATTCGTCACCAATTTCCTGACTGTTACAGAGCAAACCGCTCCTATATCAAGACACGCACGCTTTAAATAGATGTAAGCCAGTTCGCCCGTAGCTTTATAGTAGTGCTCATCTTATACAATTTACTGTCACTTAGAAATAGCTTGACAATGACACCAGTCGATGTGGAAACGCAGCACAGTCTAATCTCACTGTTTATGTAAAGATTACATTATTTTGATATAGATAAGAAGATTTAACATTGTGTTTCTGTTTCCGGAACTAATTTTCGCACACTACCGGTTTTGATCGACTGGGTTTGGATCGCTAAAGGAAAGCGCGCCACCATATGCGTATGCGTATACGATACGTATCCGTATACGTGTTATCTGGAAAAAAACACCTTTTGGTGAGTATTTAGACAGATAACCTGATATTTTGTCTTTCCAAAGATTGGAAAATGTATAGGCAGGGTTTCCTTGTTATTTCTGCTAACAGATGAAGTAGTAGTGGTTTAAGCGGACCCAGTGGCAAGAATGTTTTTAAATATTACATCATTCTAGCAACTTTCATTCAAAATTTTATTCATCAATATACAAGTGACACACAGTTATTGCTCACTGAAGTCGAAATCCCGAAAACGTTGTGTATATATCATAAAGAATTGACCCCGGGGTAAATGACCCGACCTTAACCTGCACGTTATCACCTTGGTGAAGGTTAACCACCACTGTCTGTGACCCTGACCCTGGGTAGCCTTTGCCCCCACTGTATGTCAGCCCCAGATCCGACTTGCTGCTACGTAGGATGGTCTCGACATAATGATCAGCAGTTACCAAGGCCGACCAAGAGAACACATAAACGCCTGACGTAGCACACGTAAAAATCCCTGTTTTGTTGTTATAGGTGAGACCGCCATTGGTTACAGTGACGTCGTAGATTATGGTCTGTTCATGTTCCTGGACTGCAAAAGAAAGCAAGAAATATCTTTAAAAATGGTAAACCTCAGAGTTTTCAATAATGTGGACATAGAATTCTTCATCTGAAATAACTGTGTACACACGGTATAGCATTACATCATTTACATTTCCATTGCAAGGACCTCTATAAGCATTACCAGAAGAAATTGCTTGCATAAAGTTAGGAACGCAATTGGATCGGCGTCATTTTGAAGCTTCTCCCGACTCGAAATACATGTGACAGCCATTAGAAGCAAACATTTTGGTGACGTTAGGCTATTCCAGGGATCTCGTTTGCACTGACGACACAGACACTTTATTATCTGTATTTAGGTCGATAATAACTAAATATTAGAATATTAATAAAAGGATAGAACGGCATTTTTCAATGTTCATGCCAGTATGAAACAGATTAATTTAAAAAACAACAACAGTAATTGCAACAAAAAGAAAAGATGCGGCTTTTCAAATATCGATTTTCGTGTAAATACATAATATCTATGTTATCTTATGGCAGATATAGATCCAGTGTAAAAGACAGGGAAGCATATGTTGATTTGATGTTAAAGAGAAGCATGCATCAACCCGTCGCCATTTTGTGATGTAAGATGGACTACTTAATCGATACCTTTCTGGTTTGTATCTAAAAACGGCTGTATACTTTTTTATAACTTGAGGTTGTGGCATCAAAACACGTTATGTATGCATCACATGCTCATAGTGCGTTGAATACAGATACAAATCTAAGATTTCCGGTTAATAGAATGTATATCACGAGTTTGATATTTTTTCTGATATCAATTATCCGTAACATCCTACAAACGAATACATACCAGGCAATAATTTATCGTTTTCTGTTATGACACTCACTTCTGACAAGCCAGGCAAAAAATAAATAAAGCTATAACAGGGTATTCTAATTGAGACGTCAAACCACGTAGAGGTCTTGTTCCGGACAGTAAGAATGATACGGCAAACAGTTAAGTTTGTCATGGTGGTAAACTGACGTGGAGAAATCAAAAGTTTTAACAGAAGATATTTAAGAAAATTAAAGATTATTCAGACTTAACTGATCGCTATCAATAACAAGCGTTTACCTGTCAAAATATGTTATTAATTAAATAAACTAATCCAAATAATCATCCATAAAGGTAAATGTTTCTGAATGTGAAACTTTTCAAAAAGTAAGTACATTATATAGGAAGATACACTGGATATAAGAACAACATTAATCTTAAGTACCCCAATTCCGCAATCGGGAACCGTCGACACTTTCCGTAAACGAGAAAATACGGAAAGTGCCGACGGTTTCCGATTGCCAATCCCGCTGCAGGCAAAACACGTTATAGGGTAACCTTCCCCACATTTCTGAAGTTCAGGGTTTGAATCCTGGTCTAGCCTGATTGTATTTTTACACACAGAACACTGTTGTTGATGGGTTTTTTGTTTAATTCTTATCTTTTTTCTTAATATCCCCGCAGCTTATAGTTTTCTTTTCAGAAATTCATTTTTCAAAGCTGTAGTAAGGCTAGAAAAAGTATTATTAGAAATTTAGATATGTTTATTTACAACGCAAATGAAATTAGACATGGAATTTAGTTTAATGTGTAACTCAACTTAATTTCTTGCATCCTTCACTTCGCATTATTTTATTTGTTAAGTCTATTGCATCCTGTGTTCATGCTTACTATTGTGAATGAATATGTTCCTTGTGAATGTGTTATTTTGCTGCTATAAAATTCATCTAAATGCCCTCAATATTTGAAAGCAAATATGTATTTATTATTGCCATCATGTTATTGTCATGTTTAAATGTGTGTAAAGCACAAAGGCTTTGTTGCCTATTGCAAATTAAATAAAGGACATGCATATATTAATATGTACGTCTCTGCTTAAAGCGTTTTATCGCTATATATTGCATAGATCGGACTTACTATATAGATGTGCATTACCTTCAAGTTTCTGTCCGAGTCGTGCATAAAACTCGAAACCAGCTAGTTTTTGTCGAGTTGTGTCGTATGTATCGTCTGTATCGTCTGTTTTCATCAAAATGAAACGATCTTGAAGACCACGTGACTTTAAGCGATCAGCTTTAATACCACTTCCGGTTTGAATGACTTCCGCTGAGTTTATCGATTGAGAATGCGAAGAGGACATATTCTCAAATCGAGTCTCTAACACGTTTATCTCCCTTGAATTCTGTTCGAGAAGGATCTTTTGATCTGCATCACGTTGGTTTAAATATACCTCATATTCTTTTGTAACTCTGCAATCAAATTTTTCATTTCACTGTTTTCAGTTCTTACACTTTGTAGCTCGTTTCTCATGACAGCTAACTCCTCAGTATACTCCTGGAGAATATATTTCATAGTTTCCGCTACATCACTTAATAGTTCCGGATTTCTCGTCTCCGTCATCCCTCTTCCAGACACTACAACGTTATCTGTTGAAACAAAGAAAACTTTGAGAAGCAACAGCACCGAAACCGTACTACAGAACATGTTTGCAGGTTTCTTACACAGTGAACTCTAATACGATTTATAATCGTGTCTATGACCTTGACCTCTCCTTATCAGCGGCCTGTGTGGCAATAAACGTTGATAAGAAATGTCAAATTATCATCAAAGTTTCCTACGGAGATCGAAAATTTCAAAAACTCTTCTTTACTTTTCTACTCCATTATTGTATGTATATATTATGTGAATCAAAATTTCACAACAGTGCCAAACATTCGTTAATACTAAGGTAGCAGTATACAGTAGAGGGTTGTGGCCATGGGTGATATTTTTGTTAAATGATCATGACTAACCCCTGTATAATGATATGAAAAAAATATAAAAATAAAACTGTACTAAAGTTGGTATAAGCATGATAAAGTGGGCTATGTGAGCTTCACATTTGTAAAAAAGAAGAAGATTTTTTTGGTTCGAGAATAAAATTTTGGCCATAATCCGAAAGGGTGCCTACACATGAAAAGCTAGCTTTACAGGAGGTAAAATTTTGACAACAGCACACGTCGCAAAATTGCAAAAAATCAAGTCTTACAACTTTACTGGGACCCAGATAATTCTGCAACCAGGTAGGTAATCTTTAATTTCAGACAGAAAAATACTTGTTGCGGGGGTCAAATTTTGGGTCAAAATTAGCAATTTTTGGCATTTTTTGGTAGTTTTTGATGTGGTAATCATGGTTTTCACACAAGTGACATACATAGAAAAAAGAGGTTTATACACTTCTCAGTACTTTATATGTATTGTAAATGTAATGTAGTTTACAAATATATATACATGCATACATGTGTTGTGTAGGGTAAATCCGCTGTGTTTACATTTCCTCGACATGTGCCTTGTTTATCAGAGTCGGGCCATTTCTACTGTATTCTGCTACCTCAATAGAGATGTGATTCTTGCAGAAGGATAATTGTATTGTGTGATGGAGTTTTTTCAAAATTCGAGAGCTTTCCTGGTACTTCATCTTCTTTATATAGAAAAAGTAGTCACGTGGACAACGTTAACAAGTTAACTCGTGTGATACGTCACATTTTCAGATCTCTTCTGTACAGTATGTGTATAAGTAGTGCATACGGGGTATATATTTACATTTGCTCTGCATTGGCACTATATAACACTACCAAGGCCAGTTCCGTGTTAAGGGACCATAACACAGGCGTAGTGATATCTCCACGGGACCGACTAACTGCCAGGTAGCTATTCCCCTCCACACTAGCAATCGAATAAGCAAAAACAAACATTCTGATTCAATAATATTCACCAGTTTATGTAAGACTATTATAAAATGTGAATTAGATAAGTATCGACATTTTTGTGTTAATTTCCACGAACTTTTTATTTTTTTACGGGGAAAGTCACGAGAGGACATTCCGTGAGCTGTTCTACCACTTGAATAAGAAGTAGGGGAAAAGGGTGAGAGGGGAGAATTGAGAGGGGGAGAAGGGAGAATGGAGAGGGGGAGAAAGAGAGAAGGGGAGAAGGGGAGAAGGGAGAGGGGGAGAAAGGAAGAAGGGGAAATGGAAAGGGGGAGAAGGGAGAGGAAGAGAAGGAAGAAGGGGAGAGAGGGAGAATGGAGAGGGGGAGAAAGGAGAGGAAGAGAAGGATGAAGGGGGGAGAGGGAGAATGGAGAGGGGGGAAAGGGAGAAGGGGAGAGATGGAGAAGGGGAGAGATGGAGAAGGGAGAGGGGGGAAAGGGGAGAAGGGAGAGGGGGAGAAAGGAAAGGGGAGAAGAGGAAAAGGGAGAGGGGGAGAAAGGAGAGGGGGGGAAATGGGGATTGGAGAAGGGAGAGGGTGAGAAGTGAGTGGGGGAGAGGGAAGAGGTCCGTCCAATGCGGCCCCGTCAACCCCACCAACAACTTGATCTCTGCCCATGAAAGTGTCAATCCAGTAACCTATATGTTCTTACTTACTGGCCTACCTTATATATATCCTCCTTGTTTCGCTAGAAGGGCTATATATGTCAAAATCAGGATATGGAATTGAGCATGATAGCTTTATTTACAGTAGGAATGTATGCTTTGCCATTGTGCTACACTCAACCGTAACCTGCTTTAGTGTGTATACTATATTGAAGGGTGTTGTGTTTCACATAGGTGAGAGCTCCGGACAACACAGGCGTTTGACAATTGTATATAATTATATAAATGTGTTTCCTACATCACAACTGAACAAATATTTTGTTTAAAAAAACAAGTTACACATATCCTTCTGTTTTATATATCGCATGCATGCATATATTGTTTTCGTAAAATTCAATTATCTGTTTCAAATAATTTTAAATAATTTCTTAAATTGATATTCTCAAACGCCTGTGGTTATGCCAGTCAACGTTTACCTTCGCCTTTTATAGAGAAGTAGACGGGTTCCGATGTATAATTAGGCTAAATCCCTGCAGATATTGTATGTTTGCCTGGGATTACTAGATGTTCTATTTACCTGTTCTTACCTGACACTACCTGTATACCTGTTCTAAAGTACACATACCCGCTGTGAGCAGAAACCGGACAAAATGAACTGGAATTAAATCAACTTGCAATGACCAAAGATTTTGTGTTTATTACATGTCATGGCAGATCGTGTTTACCTGTGATGACCAGAGTCTCCATCATTTACCTGTGATGACAAGAGACTCTATAGTTTACCTGTGATGACCAGATACTGTATAATTTACCTTTAATTCAGGGTTTATATTTTACCTGTGACTTGATGCTTATTAATTTACCTGTGACTAGAGGCTGTATTAATTAACTTGTGATGACTGTAGACCTGGATTTACCTTAAGGTGAGTAAAGTTTACATACAAACCAATATACGTATGGCACGAAACACACATTTCTGCAAAATGATGACCCAACGGAAGCTGAAGATGTACAATGTCATTATCGAAACACAAAGTTTACGCTCTCGACATACGTATAAGACGTGTCGATATACGTGTAAGACGTGTCGGTATATGTGTTTGACGTGTAGATATACGTGTAAGACGTGTATATATACTATCAAGACGTGTAGATATACGTGTAAGACGTGTAGATATACGTGTAAGACGTGTAGATATACGTGTAAGACGTGTAGATATACGTGTAAGACGTGTAGATATACGTGTAAGACGTGTAGATATACGTGTAAGACGTGTAGATATACGTGTAAGACGTGTAGATATACGTGTAAGACGTGTAGATATACGTGTAAGACGTGTAGATATACGTGTAAGACGTGTAGATATACGTGTAAGACGTGTAGATATACGTGTAAGACGTGTAGATATACGTGTAAGACGTGTAGATATACGTGTAAGACGTGTAGATATACGTGTAAGACGTGTAGATATACGTGTAAGACGTGTAGATATACGTGTAAGACGTGTAGATATACGTGTAAGACGTGTAGATATACGTGTAAGACGTGTAGATATACGTGTAAGACGTGTAGATATACGTGTAAGACGTGTAGATATACGTGTAAGACGTGTAGATATACGTGTAAGACGTGTAGATATACGTGTAAGACGTGTAGATATACGTGTAAGACGTGTAGATATACGTGTAAGACGTGTAGATATACGTGTAAGACGTGTAGATATACGTGTAAGACGTGTAGATATACGTGTAAGACGTGTAGATATACGTGTAAGACGTGTAGATATACGTGTAAGACGTGTAGATATACGTGTAAGACGTGTAGATATACGTGTAAGACGTGTAGATATACGTGTAAGACGTGTAGATATACGTGTAAGACGTGTAGATATACGTGTAAGACGTGTAGATATACGTGTAAGACGTGTAGATATACGTGTAAGACGTGTAGATATACGTGTAAGACGTGTAGATATACGTGTAAGACGTGTAGATATACGTGTAAGACGTGTAGATATACGTGTAAGACGTGTAGATATACGTGTAAGACGTGTAGATATACGTGTAAGACGTGTAGATATACGTGTAAGACGTGTAGATATACGTGTAAGACGTGTAGATATACGTGTAAGACGTGTAGATATACGTGTAAGACGTGTAGATATACGTGTAAGACGTGTAGATATACGTGTAAGACGTGTAGATATACGTGTAAGACGTGTAGATATACGTGTAAGACGTGTAGATATACGTGTAAGACGTGTAGATATACGTGTAAGACGTGTAGATATACGTGTAAGACGTGTAGATATACGTGTAAGACGTGTAGATATACGTGTAAGACGTGTAGATATACGTGTAAGACGTGTAGATATACGTGTAAGACGTGTAGATATACGTGTAAGACGTGTAGATATACGTGTAAGACGTGTAGATATACGTGTAAGACGTGTAGATATACGTGTAAGACGTGTAGATATACGTGTAAGACGTGTAGATATACGTGTAAGACGTGTAGATATACGTGTAAGACGTGTAGATATACGTGTAAGACGTGTAGATATACGTGTAAGACGTGTAGATATACGTGTAAGACGTGTAGATATACGTGTAAGACGTGTAGATATACGTGTAAGACGTGTAGATATACGTGTAAGACGTGTAGATATACGTGTAAGACGTGTAGATATACGTGTAAGACGTGTAGATATACGTGTAAGACGTGTAGATATACGTGTAAGACGTGTAGATATACGTGTAAGACGTGTAGATATACGTGTAAGACGTGTAGATATACGTGTAAGACGTGTAGATATACGTATAAGACGTGTAGATATACGTGTAAGACGTGTAGATATACGTATAAGACGTGTAGATATACATATAAGACGTGTAGATATACGTGTAAGACGTGTAGATATACGTGTACATGTAAGACGTGTCGATGAACGTGTAAGACTTGTAGATATACGTGTACATGTAAGACGTATCGATGTACGTGTAAGACGTGTCGATGTACGTGTAAGACGTGTCGATGTACGTGTAAGACGTGTCGATATACGTATAAGACGTGAAGTTATTCGCGTAAGACTACCAGCGGACGATCTGAAAAAAATGTTTTTATTCTATATTTTCCTTCGCAAGGACTTATTTATTTATTATCTACTATATATATATATATATATATATATATATTATATATCAGTGATTATCTCCTTTTCTATAGAAGTCGGACCAGAGTTGTTCGTTAATGTAATAAGGTCGGACCCAGTTATCTGATGCTGCTGCAAGGCCTGCATAAACATATGCATGTCCGCCAGGATTAAATTCGAAAATGTTACATTAAAAAAACAGACAAACCGGTTGTTCCGCATAAACGGACAGGCTCTTAGTTATAGTTTTTGGTACGGGATCCTTTAAGTCCACAATTACGGAATAATAGACCGTACACACAGTCTACATATATAAGTAAGTTGTGTAATGATAACAGTGGATTATGTCAGAGTGGGGTAGATACCAGCTATGTGAACAGCCATGAGAGACAACCTCTAATCTCGAGCTTAAGGTGACCTCGTGTCGACGTACAGGCTGTAAATATTACCGCGGAGATGTCCCAGAAAGTGACCCCCTTATATAAGCTGTGATGTTTTCGACTACAAAGTTGTAAACATTCCACGCCAACAAAAGATCTTGGGTGAAAATTAAAGATGTTTATTTGTGAAGCGGAACTAGACTGGGTCGATCGTCGGCGTGCAGGTACCGTACCTTATTATAATGTAGATAATTTTAACACAAATTATAAGTTTAACGAAAGGAAAGGTAACTCATGCATTATCCTTATGGGAGCAGCTGTAAGCAGTAAGTTTCGCTTTTTAATTTTCAGATAATCAAGCATATGTAGTCTGCAAGTTTTTTAACCGCTAAATACAATGGAGATGTCGAACAGATTTATCTCCCCTTTAGACCGGAAAGACGTGATGCGAGCGGAAATGCAAGCTCTGCTTACCGACACGTCTTGTCGGTATACGTGTAAGACGTGTCGATGTACGTGTAAGACGTGTAGATATACGTATAAGACGTGTAGATATACGT